CTGTGTCAGAGAAAAGACATATTAAGCCTCAGAAACACAGCCACAAGCCCAACAGCATCATGGTTCCAATCAAGAATATCACATTCTTACCACCACTCAAGCCACCGCATCTGAATCCCAAGGTTGACGGCCAGCTCTGCAGGGGCAGGAAGGCTTCAGTGGGAGAGAACTTGCAGGAAAGATGTTTCATGTTGGATAAGAGAAGTGGGAGGAGAGGAAGAAGAGAGGAGCCTGTTGCAAACGCTGAGCTTCCCAATCAGGCTGCAGCCCTGACCTCCAAACACCAGACATCAGCATACCACACCCTTGTGAAAACGTACACTCCACTTTCCTTCCTCATTTGAGTTGTTTCTTTCTTCAACCTTTGAGCTGTATTAACTGACAACATAATGCATGTTTTCCAGCAGTTTATTAAGAACATCTGTAGTGTAGCTTCAGCAATTAATCAAGGCAACGTCAACTCTAAACAAACAGGCAAGAAAACTCAGATTGAGTTAAAACAAAGATGTATTTCTGCATGCAGTCCCCACAGAGAGAAAAATAAAGCACTGTAACAGACACTTGAGACCGACAAGGCTTCTACACATTGTTCTGTTTTGAGAAAGGCACCCCCCCTCCCCATGCCTCTAAACCAGCAGGGAGCAGCTATGCAGTGTTCAAGAACCACAAACTAGAATAACTAATCTCAATACGAGAAATGTTGAAATTAAATAAGTCAAAGTAATTATTACGTCAGGAAATTATCCTTGAATGTCAGGATATGGTGTAAAAAATATTACACACTTGGGCACAGTGTCATCTTCTGTACGTTGTTCAGTTTCTAAAAACGTATATAAACTGCAAAAGCGTTACCAGCCTGTCTATAAACATGGTGAGATGGCTTCAAACTAATTCTCTTCAACAAAATGCKGCATAGCATCATTTTCATGTGCCAGAATCAATCTTTCTACACAAAACCATGGAGAACGATAAGGTAAATTCCATTATTTCATGCAACCATGAGGAAAATACCATGACAACAGGTTTTACACATGCAAAGCAAAGTCTGAAAGGATTCTGACGTCTTCTCAGTGTCATTTACCGAAACATATTCTTGTATAATTCTGAACTTAATACTCGGGTTAAGGCACCAACCAAACATAACGAAACAAAGAAACAAGGCCTACAGCTCCTTGTTCTTAAGCAGAACACAGTCCCTACGTGGTGCCTGTGCTTGGTGAGGTAACTCAGTGCAGCAACATCATGAAAAACATTACGTTTAGTTGCTTGGAGAATAGATAAAATAAAAATTAGATTCAGATACTGTTTCCAAATTGTTAAAGGAGGACACTAAGGATTTTCATAGAAGAAATTCAACAGGTCTCCTTTCAGTCAAAATCAGGTGGAGGATAAAAACAATAGCACTGTGCTAATCCTTGCTCTTATCCACAATGTGTCTGTACAGTGAAAACAACTGGATCACTTCAGCACAGAGCACTGCTACTGTATACACTTACACCCTGCAGCTAATAAATAAGTCAAAGACAGTAACACCCTAATTTTCCTCACTGACTTACTGCTCAGCTGCACAGACACAAACAAGTTTACAGATCATACTTCACAATCACATTTAAACGAAAAGTGTGCAACATCTGACGAGACGAGAACATTCAATTTAGAGTTGTGCCACATCTGCATGAGTAAAGGTATATTTCAGAGATGCCTTCTAACACATTAGATCATTGTTCAAGGCCTTAATAGGGACATGGAAGAGGTTTCCATCAGATACACAAGATGAGAATCAACATTTTACGTTTGTGCTGCTGACCAACATACGTAAACTAAACTGTACAATATTGTATTTACTGTACAACAGATGGAAATGTGTTCATGCAGTTTATGCATATCTGAAAGCTGTGATACAGTTGCATCTTTTTCATAAGCCTTTTCTTGACAGCAAAAGATGGCATCCCTTTAAGTGCAGATCTAACATTGATGAAATGTTATTTTTAAACTACTAGAAGGACCCAACAGTGAAACCAGTCACAGAGGTTAAACACTGAAATATCAAAGTTAACTTGCATTTAAGACAAGACACATACAATATGTTACTTTATGTGCAAATAAATATGTAAACTGTCAGAGGAGCTGTTCAACCATGCCCACTGAGTGAATTAAAGTGCAGCGGAGCAGTCAGGGTCTATATCTGGGCAGGCTCTGGACATGACGCCCCTGTGGAATGATCCAAGATATTTCTACCGACTTCTTACGGCTAAGACTATTACCTGCCAGAGGACAGCAGAGACCGACTCCTCTAGCAGGAAGAAGCAAACACTAGAAGCCCGTTCAGCAAAAGCTTTAGGCAGCTTCACTATGAGGGCTTCAACTGTTGGGTTTCTCAGGGTGTTGAAAGAGAGCATAGAGCTCCCCACATGTCTGGGTTTCCACAGAGCTGAAGTGAGACTCCATATTCCAGGCCAGGTCTGCAGACAAGAAGTCATCCATGACAGTCTGTGTTTCATTGCTGGTCAGAAAGAGGTGTCCCAGGCCTTCTGCCTGACTGGTCACAGTCTGCGTCTCAGTGCTGTTGAGCAGCCTAGCATGGTCCCCCTGACTGACAGGGGTCTGAGCAGAGAGGCCAGCGGCAAATGAAGGGAGATCGGTCTGTGTTTCTGTATCTGAGGACTCTGTACTAATGGAAAAGCTTGAATGTCGCAGGATGCTGCTCAGGGGCATCTGGCTTCCGGCGTTGAGCAGGAAATTGAGGTCAGTCTGTGTCTGAGTATCAAATAGCTCCAGATTGCTGGCCTGGGTGCGACTTGGTCCCTCGCTTTGGTCCAATTCATCCATCAGGAGGAAGTCTGTCTGGGTCTGGATGTCCAGAGACTCCAGAGGCGTGTCACTGCCCAGTCCTCCCAGCTCACTTTCCTCTGTCTGTGTCTGAATATGCACAGCATTGAGGAACTCTTCAAAGTCAAAGTCTATACCATTGTGTTGCTCCTGAACTGAGCCCAGCCCTGAGCCACAGGTTGCAGAGGCCTCTGTGAGCACCTGGTGGCCGGACATGCTGTTAGATAGAATAGTCTCCAAGTCACTTAACAAGGTCATCGTTTGGGTCTGGTTGTCAGCCATGTTGTTTGAGTTGAGCTCGTCTGTCTGCACCCCAAAACACATACCACCTGCTGACTTTGTGTCCTCATACATACTGCTTCCTTCAGCGGTGAGGGTGTCATGTATGTCCAGAGCTGTCTGGGTGGAGACGCTCAGGGAGTCACTGCCAAATAGGTCATTGCACATGATAGCTTGGTCCTGCGGCCTCTCCTCTGATTGTGGCGTGGTGAAATGTGTCTGTGTTTGCCTGGTTTTGTGTGGGAGCACAGATGATGAGGAGGAGCACGGAATTGGGCTCGGACACTGGCCGTCTGTCTGAGCTCCTATAGTGGACGTGGCTTTGGCTTGGGAGGCAAATGTCTGGGTCTCAACACTGACTGGGAGGAGGACCTGGGCACTTACACTGATGTCTGTTTGGGAGCAAGACGACACCGAGGACTCACCCACAGAGCACAAGCCTATTCCCTCTCCTACAACCACTCCTGTGGGCATTTTCGACAAGTAGGATTTGTCTGTCTGAATGTTGGTAGAGGTGCTCCTTCCCCGTTGTCCTGCCAGGCTGCCAAGTGACTCCTCAGCGCCTGCAGAGTCCAGACTGACCTGGACTCCTGTGCTAACAGGCCCCAGGCTAGAACGGGAAGTCTGCATACTGTCCTTGAAACCAAGACTCTTAGTGTCAAGTTGGGGCACTACTGCTCCGGTGGTTTGCGGCAGGAGATGAAGGGTGCTGACAGAACCTTGACTGTCGACTGCCAGAACTACAGACCTCAGAGCACCACTTTCTGTGGATGGGAGGAGGACAGGCAGGTGGGCCAGCTGCATCACGGGAACACTGACCAATGCCATCTTGGGCTTTGGTAGAAGCAGCTTCTGGAGGCTCTTCCGAGGGTTAGAGTTCTGACTCACTGAGTCTGGGATGTGGATGGTCGTATGAGAGGGGGGAGTAGTCGCCGTCAGCTCCATAGTAGCGGGCATGATCTGACAGGTCGGCTCGTTGGTCTTAACCTTTTCAGAATCACTTAAATGTTTCTCCATTTTCCGCTTTTTTACTGGAGGAATTCTATAAGGGAACAGAACAGATCAAGAAAAACATAAGTGAAATCTACTCTCAGACAAACCTATCACAAAATTTCAGTGAGAAGCATATGTGTCCTTAGCAAATACGTGCCTGTGTTCTGTAGGAAGCTCGTGTCCTGTCCTGTAGATATGTGAGAGTAGAGCAGCCCTGCTGGCGTAGGGGCAGCCACATGAACACTGGTAGGTTCTGCCACAGTCCTCTATGTGCCTCTTCAGGTCCCACTCTGTGCTGTAGCCATTGTTACACTTGGTGCACTTGTGTTTCTTCTCTGCATGCATCTTCATAAAGTGCTGAAATCAAACAAAACAAAGAGCAAAGGATTTATATCACATTATTGCTTAAACTTTGTCTAACATACAACGAGCAGCCAAAACAGATACCAGTCTTTGGATTGATCAGTGTATGTTGTTTCTATTTTTAAGACAATAGAGCTTTTAAACAACAATACACAACAAACAACAGAATCCAAACACCTGAAAGAAAAATGACAGCTATCTGTTTGTCTGTTGATCTAAACATAATTATATCATTTGGACAAAATTGGGAAATGAGGGCAGTGTTCCCAAGTATTTTTAGCCATTGATGCTGCATAAGAAACACTGCTAATGGTCAATACAACACGCAAAGCATTTCTTTAATCTGGAATATTTTACATTTGTATATATTCAATATATTCAACAGTGTATGCTTTTGTCATTTTCTATATTTAGTATTTATATTTAATTTACTACCAGTAATACATAATTGATGTAAAATCATTTTGGAACAGTTTTGGTGCTGATTAATAAAGTAGGAGCTGTTTTACAGAATTGAGATGTCATCCTTTTACTGCACTGTTAGCATGCACACACAGGTTAATGGAGGGGAGGCTTACTTGTTTTACCAGGGAGAACTGGGAGAAGGGTCTGTTGGGCCCCCTGGGACAGCCCTCAATGGGACAGCAGTACAGCCTCTGAGAGCCCTTCATGTCCTTTCTGACCGTGGGATTGACAATACCATCCTGAGGGCAACAATGACAGTGAGGGATGAAGACAGAGGACAAAGAAGAGCAATAACTGCATTATTAATTTACAGAGTACAGCTTAAAGTGAGTGTTAAAGAAGAATTCAAGTTCTGATATCGCCACAGATACAAGAATCCAACAGAAAGAGCAGTAGTAATTTCCTTTGAAGCATTTTCAGACATTAACTCTGGAAAATGTCAATCATCTCCATTTGTTAATTCCAGTAAATGCATCACCGCGATGAGTTCTTCATGAATGAAAATGTTTCATAAGCCATTATCAAACTGTTCTAGTAATTGGTTCTGGATATTTTCTGAAGAATGCAGCAGCTCAGACAAGTTCAAAATAATAAGAATATTTCTGCAACATACATAAAAGGGGTGGTGCCTACGTAGAGCATGCAGAGGTGGAGATGACAAACATTCCGCAGTGGAAATCACGTTTATTTTATACAGCACATCGAGCCCGGCTTCCTCCCTTATTACCAAAAGCTCCCAAATTTCATCTTTCCAAGTTGACTTCTTCGCTGGTGTGTTCTGTGTTAGAAATGCACGCTCACCCGCTCGTCATCAATTCTCCTGCAGTATTCTCACATTTGCTGACATTTTCCGAGGCGTCTGTCAGGAATAGTAAAATGTAATCGAAACGTAAAATGTCCGGAGAAACTGACTCAGACATTAGACTTCTCGCATACAGCCCCTTTGGAAAATTTCAGGACAATGTTCCAGACTACAGTGAATGTCGAATGAGCAGCTTTAATGTCTTCTGTGCTTTGCATCAACACCATAAATGTTCTTTATATACATTTTTTTAAATCATAGTGCATCATTAGAACTACAAACATAAAAGTAATGGTTGTATGTTGCCTTTCTTTCTTAAGCCAGTGTGGGTAAATAAGTGTATTACAGATGTAACATTATTTAAGAGCACATTTCTGTGTGTACAGGGAGCTCTGCTTTAAATAACTAAATAATAAAATAAAGAATGAAATGAATGCACTTGGGATTCTACTGCTTCCTCTGTAACTCCTCCTCTCACTGACCCATGGTGTGACTTGCTACAACAGCTGTGAGCACATTTTTTTATACTAATAATGCTTTTTACAGTCAACAGCACCTACACTAAATGTACGTTGCACAACCATCATCACGCATGTAGACAAAAGCATCACGTTTCATAAGTCATTTCTGCTACAGCCTTCCAGTGCTCAAGGTCACCTCCATCTGCTGTAACACTGTAGGGGAGTCGAACAGCTGCAGCTTGTTTATCATAAGAGGTTTGCAAAAATACATATTCTGCAAACAACATGCTCTTGCAGCTACTTTTATTTGGTCGTGGGCTGTAAAAAGCTCAAGAGAGTCAAGAGTCACTTTTTTTGCTTCACCAAGGTCAGTTCACCGTCTTTTAAAAGGCCCTCACAGAGCGTATTCAATATTTCTGGGAGATTGTGACGTGTAGTGATTGATATGAGTTATAGTCTCTACACACTTTTTCCCTGTTGCTCTTAAGGGAAGGGATGCGGATAGAAAGACAGATAAAAGGACAAAACCGTCACATTAGTGTCATGAAAGGAGTCTGAGCTTGGTGAGTGCACAAGCTCAGATGATAAAATATATTGCTGCAGGGCAAAGATGCAGTAGACCTACAGTACGTGTGATATAAACAGATGTGGTGTTCCACATCAGGCCTCATTCTTGCAGTATGCACAGTGAGTAACTCCAGCATGTCATTATTTCTGAGAGAACTTTAGGAGAGCTGTGCATTAACAATAACATGCTCCATCTGCTGCTGAGGCCCGACATCTGAGTGCCTCCTTTTCTCCCTCTACATCCAAAGGCACAATCTGTGATGAAGTGTTGTTGCAGAATAAAAACTCCACAACCAAAGGATTTGAACTGTCTGTAATTCTTTAAGAGACAGATGTGTCTTCTGAATCATTATTGAACATGAATTAAATATTGGCTATTAAAAGTTTCCTGTTGCTTTCCTTGACTGAAAACTAAGACTTTTAGTTTAAAAGAAGAGCCTGGTCGTACCTCGAACAGTATGCTGAAACCACTGATTGAGCCTTTTAGACGCTGTTCTAAATGGACTTCTCCTAAGAGCTCATTCAAATTCTCACATTCACCTATTTTAAACAAAGAGCTTAGTCTGCTGCAGGACAAGAGGCAGCCTTTCCAAGTAAAGAACCTCATTCATTGGAGGGGGATACAGTGAAATACTGCGTCCCACAGAAAAAGCCCTGTCCGTCCACTGAGGATCCAGGAAATAGGGTCAGAGGTGAACGTTAGTCCAGATGATTGGATGGCCTCCATTTAAGATCAGGTAATCCTTTAAGCAAGCAGAGTATTTACAGGGAAACAGATTGCAGATAATTGGGAATTTCCTCTGTGGAGGATCGATAAAGGTTAATCTTATCTTACAGGATCTTATCTAATATACAATTTAACGGATTCCACGTGAGCCATTTAACTTAACAGTTTAATGACTTGAACCCAAGACCCAGATTTGGTGTGTGTGGTCAACTGCAAACATTGCAGAGCTTGTTTAGGAAGTTTTTATTAACTACTAATTACAACTAATTGACTCAATCAAATAATCAACAGTGGTACTTAAAGGCACAAGAGTCAAAATATATATAATCTCGATATACAGTATGCCTACTCACATATTCTACCATTAACTCCTCTATATCAGATGTCATTGCTGCTGCCTGCATCTCTTGCAGACATTTATTTACGTAGAAATACTTTAACATTAACACACTTCGCAATTATGTTGCTTCTTCTAATCAATGTAGTAAACACTGTTATTTAGTTGGTGTGTTCATCTACATGCGGCTTCTATTGCACTTGTATGTTCCTGGGAGAGGGATCCCTCACAGGTTTCTCTCTCTGTTCATAGTGTTTCTTGTAGTTTCTCCTCACTCCTGTTGAGCCTCATGACACAAACATATGAGAAATCAAACCGGACTGATTGATCGAGCCAGCAGAGAGGACGTAGGTCTGAGTGGAGACTGCAGCAGGCATCGATCATCACGTGTGGTCCAAATCAATAACTGATGACACGAGCAGCTAGCTGCAGCGTAGCTAGCTCGTCGCGGTGCTTCACGCACATTAGAGCCAGCGACGGGAACTTTTATTGTCACGTTAACTGTGACGTCGTGTTTACAACGCATCGCTACTCTAACGTACGACCTGCGTCCCCCCCGCCCCCCGCGGTGAGTTAGCATGTGAAGGCGGGGTTACCTTGACTCTGTGGGACTTGACGAGGTGCATGTTGAGCGCAGGTGAGTTGGGGAGGATCTTGCCACATCCCTTCACGGTGCAGAGGATGTTCGTCCTCACTTCTTTGGTCAGCTCCACGATGGTGGGTGTTATTATCTCCCGCGGCTCCTCGCGGCAGCTCGGGCTGTCAGCGGCAGCGGGAGCCGGGTGTCTGCTGTTGGTCCTGGCAGAGGCAGCCATGTTTGTGAGGTGACAGGCGGAAGCCCCGGCAGCGGCAGCGCTGGAGGAGCTGCAGCATTACGTCCCTCGGTTCCTCCTGAAGAGCTGCAGCTTAGCTTCCTGCAGGCTAAACAACGGCTGACGAGGCTGCGTCACATCCGGTCTCAGCAATGCGCTTCCGTGTTTCACAATAAAAGATTTGACACTTGTTTTCGCACGTGATTCTCTGGATCATTGACCCATGTGAGTGAGACGGTTTTTGCCAGATACAGCAGGGGTTCTCAAATGAAGCTCCGTGGCAACCTGTCAGGAGGTCAGTAAAAAGTTCCCACAAATGCCAATTACAATTATGATGTATGTGTATTCTGTGTGAGGAGGTTCAACAATACCATTTCAAAATGGGATAGTTCACCCATTCATTATCTAAAACACCACTGTGTCGATGGAGGGGGGGTTGACGTGTTTCTGGAGTTTCAGGGATAAACAACGTTGCAGCCAAGTCCAATAGAATGGAAGTAAATGGTGATCAATTCTTCAAACGTAAAAAAGACATTAACAATACACAACAATACAAATGTGTCATCCATTAGTGAGCACTAATGTGAAGTGGGCCCAGCAGCATTGACACAGGCCAAACAAACAGACACTACACTAGTAAGGGTATATTCAGACCTATATCAAGTACTGTAGATAGGGAATGTAAGGACTGTCAGAGTCTCAGAATTATACACTTCCCCATAACTGAAGATATGTTGAGGTCGCAGAGTCTTTCCCACAGCCAAGCTGAGTGCACTCAAATAAGTTGTGTGTTTGTAGATTCAGGAATCAGTTCCATGTTGCTCGTTTGTAGTTTTAATTCAGCGTACTAAATTATGTAGCATTCACACAAAACAGACATTAAAAATCATGCATCCCGCCAAAATAGTTGTCTTCTTAAATTAAATTGAAAGTGTGATAGAAGAAGCGTTAAAAAAAGGTTAAGATAATTAAGACCTACCTAAATGTATTTAAGACCAAGTACTTCATATTTTAAAATATCTAAGACTTGTAAGGCCTAAAATTAAGATTATTGTAATTCAAACAGTTTTAGAACCTGCAACAATGCTGCTGTCTCAACATCATGAAATATTCAATGGATTAAAAAATAATTAAATCTAAGATGAAATGAAAGATAATTCAATGACAAGTATGTATTGCACAGTATTAATATATTTGCAGCAGCAAGTGCATAAAAACAGAGGGGAACAATAACTGATTCTAAAATCTACTGAGTAAAGAATCTTCAAGAGCCACATTGACAGGATCAAAGATGAAACAGTAAAAGCAAATCATGGAATGAGAAGTAAGAACAAGCGACCCTGTGAGTCCTTTGAATCAAGGGTCTGTCACCCATCAGTTCTGTGTTTGGTGCATTTGCGAGGAGGGACCGGGGCCATTATCAGTGATGACAAAATAATTCCTTCCTTTCAGAGGAATAGATGACAGCAGGGGGGTGACAGGGGTGGATGCAATGCCTGTAAAATATGAAAACTAAATTAGTTGAGCTGTCTCAAACAAAAAAAATTGCAAACAATTATTTCTGACTTTGTTGACATGATAGTTAATCACAGCTATTTGTCTTGACAATAACAAAGGCAGAGATTTACAAAAGCACTTTCTTGTCCAAATGATTATTACACAAAATATCATACACAAAATCTGCCTCATATCAGGGTGGTATCATGGGTGAGAAGAACTGTGATTATGAGAAAAACAAATGCCACTAATGACGATTTGGAGACATTAAGGTGCATGTATCCCTCGTCTTTAACTGGGGATCTCACTCTTTACCTGTTGCTATTGGTTTCCACCTCTAATGGTGAAGGTGCATGAGTTCTCCAATGTTAGTTGAAAAGTAGGAATATAGGTTCAGGTGCAAAGATGTAAAAAACAACACTGTTTTTTTGGAAAATGAGGCCAAACAATGCACCAACCATGATATAAAGAGTGTATGTGCCCTCTTGTGGTCAACATATGTAATTGTAAGTAATATGAAGCTCTAAATTGTTTGCTCTATGTAAAGATAATTTAAGACATGGACGGTTTCAGATTAACAGATTTGTGGTACCTGAGGCTGCACAGTGTCTAAGTGACTCCAGGAGGTTGGGGCTTTCAAACTTGACGACACATTTGAAAGGCTCGTCCCGCTCTGTCATGGTCCTGTTGGTGTGGTCTTTGTATTTCGTCTCCAGCTGGGGACACGAACACGAATCATCATTCAGATGATCACAGCACAGAATGATGCTAAACTGTGATATTCAACTATTATTCTACCTCTCCTCAGGACCAAGTATTATAAAAACCAGTCTGATTTTAGGGTACCTTGTAAACTGCAGACTGTAATTGAGGCAACATCCCATCACCAAAGGCCTCACAGGCCATCCGATGTCTGTTTGCTCCAGATCCAGCTTGTTCTCTTTCTATGCGTGGGTCTATAAATACACATAAAGCCAAAAAATTGAATTTTTGGAACGATAATGCAGAATTTCACCAGAACTACACGTACACGTCAAAGCTAAACAAACAATATATGTGTGACATCATGCAAAAAAAATTAAAGTAGCTTCGGCCTGATTGAATGTTTTGATAAACATACTTGAGACGGTTTCATTCTTTTCTGCAAGAGGGCTGGGATAGTTAGTGGGAAACACCTGGAGACAAAGAAAGAACAAGTCAGAATCTACTCAAAAATAAAAAATAATACATAAAACATTATAGGCTTTTTCTAAATATTAACAACTGGCTTCCACAGTCAGGATTTAGGGTTATAGTTGTTTACAACAGTGGTGATTTGTTGTTCAAAATTCTTGGCATTTTTCATGCTCCATTAAAGGTCCAGTGTGTAAGATTTAGGTGAAAGGGAACTATTGGCAGATATTTAATGTAGAATAATCCTCATGATGTTTTCCCTACTCCATTTCATCTAAATATTATGAATTGTAGTTTTCTTTACTCCAGAAAAGGCCCTTTATATTTAAATACTTTATATTTACATCGAGGGGGTCCTCTCTACGGAGGCCGCCATGTTTTTTACATTAGTCCAGACTGGACAAACTAAACACCTTTTGAGTTTTTATGACAACTGAAGCTACCACAGGTTCTTTTTCATGTTTGGAAGGAGAGGGTGAGGTGAGGGGTGTTCAGCTGCAACATGCAACTTCAACACTAGATATCACACAATTCTACACACTGTAACTTTAAGTTGTGGTATTATAATGACAACCCTGACCATGTCCAAAATAGTATGGTTACAGCAAATCTCCACCCAAACCTCATTATCTACACCAGAGACTTAAAGTGAAAACACTGAATACGCAGCCACAAAAACACCGAAGAGCAAAGGTCAAACTAGAACCAGAAAATATAGAGAATACATTAATGATAAAGATAAATATCTCTCTCTAATGTGCGATGCTATTCAATCCACTTCATTGTGATTGTAAAATCTTTGTCATCAATGCTAGATTTAGGGATAAATCAAATAACCAATATTCTCCAAAGAGATTGAAGTGTAGCTTAAGTGTAAAAAGGATGAACATGGCAATTTAGAGTTTCCCTCTGTGGGTCATCAAGGTCAGTTCCTTTTCATTACACTATTACACAACATAAACACATAGCTTTACTTAAATCAGAATTTCCAGCGCATGGTTGCAGAGTTCAGTGACAAATCAAGATACTTAAACCCAGACACAAACATCAAAAATCAGAAGTGGAACAACACTCCACTTAGATTGAAGTTGTACAGTAACAATTTAGCTGATAAGAGAACCTGTGCCCTAAATGACACTAGTACTAAGAAGGAGCTCATAATGTGAAGACTTCACTCAAGCCAGTCAGCATTTAAATAATCTCAACTCCCCTGATCTTCTGCCTCTTGTTCTGTTGTAATCACAACAAGCTTACCTGTTGATACTGCTTCATCAGCAAGTCCCTGATGGCATTGAGTTTCCGTCCACTGAGGTTAGCATCCTTAATAGCGTGATGTCTGGTGGACAGAACCAGGGCCTGCCAAGAACATCACTCACTTAGAGAATAGACAGACAGACAGACAGACAGCTGCCTGGCAACTGCAAAAAACAGGGTCAGGATTAAATATAAGACTCACCTGGGATAACAGGGGCTTTTGTTTTGAAGTTAGACTGGTCACAAAGACATAAGGGGTTTGAAGGTGGTGAACAACATATGTTGGTTTCAGGTGATTGGGCCGAGAGAAGCTGTCTCCCCATGCGATCCGAATCCAAACAGCTTCATCTGTGTGCTTCTTTATTTTGACAGACACCTTGAAGACAATGTCAAAAGATATCTTTCAATATTAAATGTTAAACACAGAGAAACATCACGTAATACTGCAACTGCATCAACAGTAGGATTTTGTAACCGAGGGGAGCAGGAATATCAGGCTTACATGTCTTACGAGCTCACAGAGGTGAGACTTAAACTGCTCCTTGAACTGTGAGAGCTCGACAGAGTGAGCATCTTCTGCAAAACAAGACACAAAGACAAAATTATTTACTTAATAACTTAACATTTAAGGTGCAGAAATGGGAATTCCTTTGTAAATTAGTGCTTCCATTCACAGTCAATGTTAGTGTGAATATCTCTCTTTAACCTGCACCTGGTCCAAATACCAAGCACCGGTCAGACCCTCGCAGCAACCAGACAAAACTGATTCAGCTTAATCACATTTCAAAACCAAACTCAATACCAATATGGGTTTGAATAACAAAATCATAATATTCCCTTTATTTCCCTGAAAAATAAATAAATAAAGAGTTTTTCTAACACTACCATGTGCAAAAAATAGATACACATACTGTTAAATACCTTTAAAACCCACTGAGATTATTTAACTGATTGAAAAGTAAAATTGTTTTAACCAGCAGCTGCAGTGAGTGAAAAGCTGAAGAATCCAAGCTCTCTAATACACAATATAGGGCTGCTTTATAAACCCAAGAATTATATAAAGATAAAAACGATTCAGTCTATATTGATAATATTAGAGTTCTTTTTTTCTGTTGACGTTGAATAAGGGGTTTATCACTGAGTGAGGGTTGTGGTTTTTGTTCATTAGCAGATAAAGAAAACCTGGAAAACATTTCGAAATTCTGAGGTGGATCAATTATGTTCTACCTCCTCACTACTCACACAATGTGTAATATGATATATATTGATTATATCCATTGCTGTTGATGGAAACTATATTGCAGTAATAGTTGATTTATCTTCCTGTACAACTTGCATATTTCGTCAAAAACCAACCTTCGGGGTCCACGAGCTGGAAGCCGTGCCACATCCCCTGGTTGGGGTTGTCAATGACATCTGAGAGACAGTGAAACCAAAGAGTTAGTGGGATGATGGCAGGACACGATTGTTTCTGAAAACCACATGAGATCAGTCCTTTTCATTTTGACTCACAAATCATCTCCAGCTCCGTGATGTGCTTCATTGTCCACTCGTTTTCCTGTGAACATGAAAGCAGTGAGTGTGAATGTGAGGAGAGCACCAGCAGATCAACACAGTGCTGGTGGTTGTGGAGGAACGTCTGTGTGCACAGGGTTTCTCTTGTATCCTATATGATAACATGTTAGTGACAGAGGCTCTGGTACCTCACACACAGACAGCAGCTTCTCCGTTAACGCCCATTTAGTCTGAGTATAATCCATGGAGCCCCGCTGCGCCACCGTCAGACGGCCCCACTTCTCCAGCGTGGTTCTTAACTGTGCAGTCGGAATCCGTCGAACGAGTCTCTGCAGGACGCGTCTGCTGGAGTCCTCCATTGTCCCTCTGGGGCTCGATCACATCCACCCGCTGCACGGACGGGTTCTACTGGGTTCGATCAAACTATCAGCTCCGTCCAACGAGCAGCGCGAGCCCGAACCAGTCCAAACAAATCCAAACAAACCGCCGAGGAAATAAACGAACCGACCAATCACAGACTGACAGGAAAGATTACGCGCTTCATCTAGCGCCCCCGCTGCGCCGGAGTGGTAGTGTTTCTATAGTACCGCCAATGATGCTGACGCGTTTGTAGAAGCATCAGGAGCCTCATGCCACTATGTATTTATAATGATAATAATAATACACACTATAATTATCATAACGAAACATGGTATCATATATAATAATAATAATACATATAATTATTATTATTATGATAATACTATTTTGAGATTCTATTGTTTTAATGTTTTTATTTCATTGTATCTATTTGCTGCTCCTGCTTAGTTTTTGGATTCTAGTGTTCTATTTCATTGCTAGTGAAACGCAGTGCTTAGTTTGGTTTCCTCTCATGTACCTCATGTTTTGGAATAACAATAAATCTTCTTGAAACAAATTAAGAGTCAGATTAAAATATAGTTTATGTCGGAAGATGTTTCTTGGAGATATAGATCAGGAGGCTATTGAGGAATATGCGTTTAACACTGAGATGTTGGAAGTTGAAAAGTTGTAGAAAACAGGACAAAAGCTCTGCTAGACAAAATAATGTGTACCTATTGTGCCGCATGTATGTATATGAACATATGACTAGATATGATTCAATAATTAAATCTAAACAAATGTAAATAATGCATTTAAACTTATACACATGTTCACCAAAGCTAAATCCACGATGTGTCTAAGATATTATATCAGATCTTTTATTAGCCTCATGAGTTAATATCACAAAACCATTTCTCATTATTACGATTTTAGAGTTGAGCCTAATTGTTAGCGAGCTTCATTAATCTAAAGCTTGAGTTAACTCTAGCAAACTTTGTTCAAAGGTCTGAATATCAACAAATGTGTGTCGCATGTTTTCACTGATCACACTGTTCCACTTCCTCCAAATCTGCACAGTTGTTGGATTTCATTCATGTTGTTCCTCTTACATTTGCTCACAATCGTTATAATTGTTAAAATGAAAATGAATCAAATATAAAAGCCAAACGTTTATCAGATCCGAAAGCAAAACCGGAAGTGCATCAAGGGGAACGTTCTTGCATCCTCTGTAAACTTCCGCCAGTAAAAGTCCCGCCCTTTGTAGTAGGAACGCTCGCCATTGGTGGATGAAGGAAAGACGCTGCCGCCGATTCGTTGTTGTCTCCTGTCACTCACATCACTGGCTGTTACGAAAGCGTGTAGAAGGAGTGTGTGAGGTCACAGGCTGAGTGTCCCGCTGCTGCTTTAATGATGTCAGCACAAGTTTGAGCTCAAACCACAGAGACGTGACTGCAAGACCGCGAAGAAGAAGAAGAAGAAGAAGGAGCAGAAGAAGAAGAAGAGGAAGCAGCAGCTCCTCGTAGGTCTCCGTGCTTCTTCGTGAGTTCATGCTGTTGACGTTAGCCGAGGCCTCCCGGTTAGCTAACGTGACATCTGACCGAGGTGACACCGCCTGTCTGCTGGTGAGTTCCATTAAAGACGCTGTCAGAGTCATGAGAGACACAACACATACATCAGACACAGTGTGTTTCAATCTAATGTCCAAACTCAGCTCGTAGTCAGGTGTCAGAACAGCTCACAGGCGGCTCACCGTGGAGCAGAGAGCTGCTGGGTCAAAGTGGCTGCAGAGTATTCACTGTGCATGTTTCAGTCATTGTGTCACATGTGTTGTCCACCACCTCCTCTCTCTGTCCCTCAGTGTCCACAGGAGGAGTAAACGCCAGCATCACTATGACAGCTCAGGAAGGAGAGGGATGGGGAGGCATTAGTATCCTTTAGGAGACATGTCCTTGGCCTGAGGTTGACACCGTGTATTTAGAAGAAGTGAAACAATCAGTGATTCAATCGTTCAACATCATTCAACAGCAGTTTGGTTGCAATCGATTCATTGTTTAATCCTCTGAGATGTGTCCCTAAGTTTTTAGGTTAAAAACCAAAGGAGACTTTTTCTGTTAGACTGTGAGACTTGGGAACATCTTGCCCGAAGAGTTCAGGTGCTCAATCGCTCTCCCATTTTAAAACACTCCCGAAAACACATTTGGACAAAGCTGCTTTAAAGGTTCAGTGTGTAGAGTTTTGTGATATCTAGTGATGAAGTTGCATGTTGCAGCTGAACACCCCTCATCTCATCCTCTCCTTCCAGACATGAAAAAGAACCTTTGGTAGCTTCAGTTGTCATAAAAACTCAAAACGATTTAGTTTGTCCAGTCTGGACTAATGTAAAAAACATGGTGGCCTCCGTAGAGAGGGTCCCTCCTTTATTTTTAAATATATAGTATTTAAAAATAAAGGGCCTTTTCTCGTATAAAGAAAAATACACTAGTGAAAACATCATGAGGATTATTCTACATTGAATTTCTGCCAATAGTTCCCTTTCACCTAATCTTACACACTGGACCTTTAAATTCTTGATTCTGATACTTTTAGTTTTTATTTATTTTATAGTGGTTATGATGATTAACGTTTGTCAGTGTGTTCTATTCATTTTTCTATATTTAATATCGGCTCTGTTGTTTGTATTCTCTGTCATGTTTTTTATCCAGTCTTTCATTGTTGTGCTCTGCTGTATGTACAGCACTTTGTAATTTTCGTCAGGCAGAACAAGAAGTTGAAGTTATAATGATAGCTGGAAATTAAAACTATTTTTTGGACGTTTAACAGAATAAATAATTGACTTGAATTGCCCTGAGTAGAGTTCATACCTGCATCAAGGCCAAATAGTCTCCTTGTTATTCAGGCAAACCCAGGTCCTCCCCCTGATACAGATCTGCACCAAATTTTAATGGGTTCTTCCCTGGCCCATGACGGCCGAGCTGAAAGAGATGGGTCTGACATGGGCAGAGGCCCCACATGTAGCCCAGGAAAGGCCTCGATGGAAGCAGGGACAAAAAGGATTGGGACAAAGGCAGTGGTTTTTGCGTAATCTAGCTTGAAGTCAAACAAACCAATGAACAAACAGTTGGGTTAAAACATAACCTCCCTGGCAGAGGTAATTAAAAGATTAAAAACATGAACAAATAGTAAATAACAACTATTATTTGCAGCCTCAGTTTGTAGAATTGATGTCCAGTATATTATTATGGGATGGAAAAGTGCACCATAGCGGTAAGCAAACTGCATATGATGCAGTTCAAGATGCACTGTCACTAAATCCCGTCTGTTATCATAATGCTCCTATAATTGTCAACGTGGTCCTCCTCAATCCCGGCTCCTCTTGTTTGTGGCTTTTCAGTTTCGCTGCCGTGGTTCAGTTAACCCTTAACTCAGAATGCACCCTGATCTGTCGCCTCACCTGCACACGGACGAGTGCAATGAACTAATAACTCGTCTGAGGCAGTGCCACACAGAGGTACAACGTTCTCTCAATTATTCTATTTCCGAGTGCTTCACATGCACAGAAAACGAAACCGAGTAAATCTTGTTTCCTTTTACCCTCAGCACAACTTCATGAAGTTTTTTGGCTCATGCAACGATGTGGACCGTGCTATGCGTCAGTGCCTGAAGAAAGAGGTCAGCCATTTTTTTTTGTTTTAGTGAATAAGACGACTTACCAACAATATATATTTTTTAAATGCGAGTTATCTTTGTTTCCTTTCATTCAACAGAGACTGGATAAGCGGGAGCGCAGCAAGCAGCACGCACAGGAGATGAAAAAGAGGCTGAAAGAAGGGCCGAAGGAGTTTGTCTGAAGGACGTTTCGCTGCATCTTTGCCAACTGGCACTGCAAGTTTTCAGATATTGAGACATTGGATCAAGGGCATAAATGTAATGCTGCTGTTTGTTTGTGTGAAGGCAGGACAAGAGGGTTGTAACGCTGTCTTTAAAAATGAGTTGTATCAGCTTTGACAGGTCTAAGCATGAAGTGATCGTGCACATCAACGATTTCAAGATGTTGGTATAACTGTAAAATGTTGCTGTTATTGGTGTTGCTTTATTTTTGTAAAAAGAAACATGAGTAAGAAGAAAGGATTCTAAAATGTTGGCATCATGTGTAAACCAGCAAACACAAACCTGGTTGAGATTTACAGCTTCTACATGAACCGTGTAATGAACTCTGCTAACTAAAGCTTGCAGTGCCACCAGGACATTTTAGGTCAACATCAAAACAACTAGTTCTTTGGAGTACAAATTGCTGATTTGGATCCTCATTTATTTCTGCTATGTTAGCACTACAATACCACTCCATCAAAGAGAAGAGTGGAGCTTGTGGCAGAACCCTTTCATCTATTATTTTAGTCCTCAGGACACCTCAGGAATATTCTGGTACCTGAAAACATTTCATGAAAACAAGCAGAATCCATTTTCAGGATATAAAAGATCCATGTAACACCCAAACCAGAACGACCAGTGGGCTCCTCTCCATGTTGGTTAGATATACACACTGAAGATTTAGACAGTTGTTTGCATGTTTATGTGAAAGGGGAATCATATTGATTCATGAGAAGAACCATTCTTTTAAAATAAAGTAAAATGATTTGTCAAGAGCTTTGATTACATGTCATTTAGTGGATGTTTTTATCCAAAGCCCCTTACAATTAGTGCGTTAAACATCTACTGAACCCTAAATGAGCCATTTAGGGTTCAGTATCTTGCCCAAGGACACTTCGGAGGCAGATGGGAAAGACTGACGATCGAACCACCAATCTTCTGGTTGAAGGACAAACGCTCCACCCCTCAGCCGACCAGATATGTGATTTTGTGTGTCATTGAAAAAACAAACATTCTGTCTGTTCTGGTTTTGAAAAGCATTGAAATTAGTTTCCTTAAAAAAAAGGACGGCTATAGAAGGTGTACTTTATTGCATCATGTTGGCTCCGTTCCTCCCACTATTCAGACATGAAGCTGAAATATCCAGAATACAAATGTTGCCATGTTGCACATTTGGAGTCTGTGCAGTGGAGATCAGTGGACGGCGCTCCACGTTGCGCTGGACCAATTGTATAGCTGTCAATCATGTCTCGCCCCATTATGTATAGCATCAAATAACTAATTAAAACCGAACGTACCAGAAACATGAGCACTTGATCATACCTCATTGTGTTCAGAACTACATAAACTGACTGAAATCATCTTTGAGAAAAAGCATTTGATGTGTTTTATGACTTTATAGTTCAGCTCCCATCCACGAACATGGAGCAGGTGGTGATATAGACGCTTTGCTGTCACTTTTAGGGAGCTGTTACGTCGACCATCTTTATGCAGTCTATGAGGAGGATTCATTCTGGTGTTGGAAGTTAACATTTCGATCAGGAGAATCGTTACTTTGTGGAACTATGGATTCTCTACCATGTTATTTCACGGGTGTTCTGTGTCTGTTTTGAAAAACTGAAGATCGTATCAGGTCTGTAAGATCACAACAACACAGGAAAGGCCAAGCAGCCTTTGGTTCAACACATGAGCTGAGTTTAACAACGGGGAACGACGTGACCAGCAAATGATTCATGATGTCAACTGAAGCTCACAACATATCTGAATAACGTTGATTACTGCAGTATCAGGAGCGTCGCCCATGATCGTGAACTTTCACACTGCTATTATTTGAGGAAAGTAAAACAAAAACCACGTAGTGAAAGTACTGTTTCTTTATTGGAAGCAGCTCGCTCTACCCATCACAAAGTATGGATCAGTCTTTGACAGATATTTAAATTGCAAGGCACCCCAAAGACAAATGCATATATGAGTCAACATAAATGAATGTGGTTATTAAAGACAAAAAAGAAACCTGTCAACAATTGCATCATTTGTCACAAATAAGGACGCAAACAGGAGTACAGGTAGTTTTAGTTTTTTTTTGTTATATCTGATTTATGTTTTCACACAAACACATGCTGAGGTGTAAATTTAGATAAATTGAAATTTAACAGTTGCATTTTTTCTCTCAGGTGTCAAAATGAAAAGAATTCAGTATTTTACAAATTAAAATAAATAATGAATAAATATACATTTCACTGATCCTCAGTCGCCACATTACACAGGTCCTTGGCAGAGGATGTGAATTTAGGGGGAAAAATAACTTTAAAAAAATCACAAATTTGGTCAAATACCTGCAAAGTTGCTTGCGAGACAGTTTTCATTGTATGAACTGAATCAGTGAAGGTGATTATATATCTGGCAAGTTAGTATAGAAGGGTACAGATATATTTAGATTATTTAATAATTTAAAAAACAAAACTTTATCATCTGCAAACAATAAGTTCATAATTATTGAACAACCTTGTGGTGCATTTTATACTGAAAAACAATCCTTTATACTTACAGAAGCTCAGTAAAACACAATATTAAACATTACATTATCTGACTTCAGTCTTTACAGCAAATTATTTAATGTCAAATGAAAATTTGAACATTCAAGTGAAAACAGTGTTTGGCTTTGAAATTAAATATTTATAAATTCTTTTCCTGTGCGATAGTTTAGATGAGCGTGATTTGGGGGGGGGGAGGTGCCTCCAGAGCAAAGGAAACCACATGGCACTGCACATCCACACTTATCTCAAATAAATACAAAAATAAACTGCAACATTTCTAACAATACTTACAATGCTGGTACAAAACATACCCTGACATACAAGGCATCCACACAGGCGACACATTCATATATGTACAGTATATTACATGCAATTTGTTCCACAAAACAGTCGACATATTATCTCTATATTCTTCTGTACTGCATGTGTACAACTGCAAGAATGAACAAATATCTTCTGATTTTTACAAAACATTTCACAGACCAACATCTTTTTTGGGGGGGTAAAACAAAATAGATCCTAACTATAGTTTACATTAAAATATAAAATTGATTCAAATCTCAACTCATCACATGCGGATACGAGGACAAAGTTCACTCCAGGTACACAACTGTTGCATTGTCACAATATTGATCACCGACGATTAGTGTAATCATGACGTGAGCACTAGACCACAGAGCAAGAACAACTCTTGAAAAATAACTTGTCAGGTGATGTCAACGTGAATTACAATGTCACATTTCACACACTCACCTTCTGCATTGAATACTGGAAGCCATGTTGTGTGTATGAACCACCACAGTTCCACATGCGATGCTGCTATATGGAGCTCAAACTAATGGGATTCAACTCACTGATAATCTTTGCATGTGTAATGCGCCACTAGTTCATTTAATCATCTCAAGTGATTTCATACTCAAACCAAAATGCCAATTAAAAGCGGACATTTTGTATCTGCAGTTGTAGCATCTACATGAGATGTCCAGTGTTCTCCAATTCCTCTTATTTTCCTGACTTGAACAGAAAAAAAATGCATTTCCCATGAAGGAAATTCCTGACCTCAATGAGATTTTATTTGTATAAATAAGTTATATTAAACTCACATTACATTACAAATGTGACCAGTATAGCTGCCTTCAGACATGCACTGAACTCCGCAGAACCTCCAGACATTCTCCGGAGGAGCTGTATGCGTGAACACAAATGTTCGGGTGAGAGGCTCCGGACTTTCACAGGAGATTCTCTGGCCGGCCCCTTGTAAAAAAGGAGCCCATGAGAAAACACAGCAGGAGTCAACACCAGTGAGTGGTAGTGGATGAACATGTGACAGACGCAAAAATGAAATAAAATATCTCCAGATGAAAATGCACTGCCATACATGTAGAAAAAAACAACTGAGAGAGTTAAAGGGCTGATGCCAGTGTTGATGTTCTGTAAACAGAAACACGCTGCAGCAGGATTGATGTGTTACATCCTGCCTTTGTCTGCTGCATCACCACTCACCTGAATCCTCTAGAGATTTCAGTGTTGTTGTGAACATGTCTAGGTGGAGAATCTCCTGCTGCGTTGTTCATGTGTGAAAGGTAACCTCCTGATAAAGTCCAGACCCAATTCTGCAGACTCACTCAGGAGTTCATGTCTGAAAACAGTTTGTGTGTCGTGAGTCTTGATTTTACATTCAAGGGAAGCACATTTTGTTATTATGAAGATTATAACAACAAAGTCACTGGAAAATGATGTTCTGTGTGATAAAGACTTTTACAGTATAAACATTAAAATCGTGTGATGAAAAAAAAGTTTACTTGCAGTGAGAATAGCCACAAGACAGCTACTGAGTGGCATGAGACAGGATCATTTAATTTAAGTGCCCAACTTCAAGTGGCCTTGTAAACATCAGGCTCCAGCACGTGCTTATCAAGAACCAGGTTCTAACAGAAAGGCGTTCAGGTGAGGTGGGATGAAGAGTGACCAGGTCTGCACGGGGAGCCGGCCATGAAGGAGGAGTTAAACTCAGGGTTTACTTCTGTGTGGATTCAAAAGTTGATATTTACTTATTTTCATACTTTGTTTATTGTGCCTGATGCACACTAGAGGATTATCATCCTGATTTTGCGTCCGAGCCCTCCCGACTATCGCAGGGGCCAATCAGAACTGATCCTGTGCTGTGAGTGGTTAACAGACTGTGGGTGTAGCTGAGAGAGCAGCTTCACCTGGACCAGAGTGTTAGCTGATTGATCCTCTGGTACAAAAGGCAGCAGCAGAGCTGCCTCAGAGAGACACGCAGACCTGAGACATGGATGCACATGTGAGACACTGCTGAGCTGCAAAGCGAGGTGCCAGCTGAAATAGTTGGCAAGTTTGAGTTTGTGGAGATTTCTTTTTGTTAAATTAGAAAATAAAGCAAGGTTAAAATGCTGAAAAGTGAGTGATTCGTCTCTGGCTGCTGTGGTGAAACCCGATGGCATCCTCAACTGCCACACAGACATAATCTTTAGAAATAAAGATGAAAAATCGGGGAGACTTGTGTAGTATGAAAGGAAGAGCGATTGGGTGAGTGAGCAGACACCAGCGATAGCCAATGAGAGTGAGCCAGATGTTGCTTACTTGTGTTTAGATCAGAAATAATGGCTGCCAACAGCATAAATAAGACTTTTGTTTTCCATATCAGGTGGACAGTAGGAATGTTTGTTTTTATTCTGAAGTCTCATTCGATGATGTAGTTTCTTCCCAAGTCTCTGAAAATTGCCACTCAGAGATTATTTGTTGAGGTCCTGTGTCTCAATAAGTCTTGTCTAGTGTTTGCGGCCTCACGATTGAAATATCTTAAAAATAGGTTACAACTGTTATGTCTGTGTTTTTTCACGTTTTAAAAATCTGTTGATTGAGTGAGCAACGTGCATGATTATTTTCAATAATATGAAGTTTTCAGTCACAATTTTTTAGGGTTAAGGCAACAAAACTAGATGGTCATGTTCAAATAAACCTTTTGCACAACATTATCCACATGTCAGAAAGCCTTTCTGCCAGAAACCTCTCACCACTGCTGAAGCACTTCTTCTTGAAGTGGTCCAGCTGAGTCTAAAACTGGGTACATAATAGCCTTGTTGGCTCTGGACAGCTGGGTGCAAATATCATCCATCAAAAAAACAGAATACACATCAACTTTCTTTAAGCGGTCTGTGAATCTGAAATGAGTATGAATGAGTTTTCTAGTAGTTTTCTTCGTCCATGCAGAGCGGATGGAATGTGCATGTTAAGGAGGGACAAACTGTCCTTATGCCAACTTTGGTTTTTACAATTGAAGTCAAAACAATAACCGAGTAAAAGAAAATCCTGAAACCTGTACTTATATACAGAGAGCAACTGTTATATCTGAAATAAATATATATTAATATATATTAACTTTAAATTAATCATGTGCTTTCAGACGTACACTGATTTAATTCATCCTGACGATTAAGTCTCACACAGGTGCAGAAACACTCTGTTCCTTCCTACATTTCAGCAAAGCACGTTTGGCCCTTTGCTCTTTGACTATTAAAGGAGAAACAAATGGATGGTTGTGGGTCCAATAAAAAGGTTGGATGATGTATTTTTTCTGTTGGTAGCAATGTAAGCAAACAGAACTCCAGTGTATCGCCTCGCCTTACTGATTGATGGGAACAAAGGACCTTCACGAAACTTTTCCTTCATTTTGAGATCTCATCCTGAATGTCCCTCTGTAGGTAGTGTCACATCCACCCTGACCATCTCTGGTTTCCTGGGTGGAGATGATTACTTCTCATACGCCTTGTTCTGCAGATAGCTGAAGAGGGCCTCGAGTCCTTTGGTTGAACACCACAGCTGCTTCAGCATCTGACACTCTTTCTCATTCACTTCCTCCAGGAGCGACATGAGGATACTCCTCATCAGGCATTTGGACTCTTCTAAAACCTTTCAAGCACACACAGAGTGGAGAGGGTCATTAGGTTACATTCAAACGAAAGCTTTGCCATCTGGGTTGTGTATGGCCCCGTTCAGACCTGGTATTAACGCGCTTCCTGAGAGATCTGATCACAAGTGTTCAGCTCTGAGCTCGTCCGCTCCTGGTATTAAAATGTGTCCTGAATACTGTGACCACTTGTGATCAGATCTCACTTCACTGCTCTTTATGCAAATAAGAATGTTCATCATTTCAGCGTTAACCACAGGATTGAATCTATAGTGAGAGCGGAGGTGCATGAAAACAAACACAAAATACCGAGTGACAGGTACACAGACTTAGAGCACAGTCACACATATGTGAAATGTAGCAGGACCTACCACTGCATTGCATGACGCCATTTCCTTCACGCGCAGCATCACCTCTTGGTTAAATGTTGTTGGCCAAAAGACCTGTGACACAAGACCTCGACTGCACGCTTCTTGTGCGGTGAGTTTTCTTCCACAGAACAGCATCTCGTTGGCCTGCCGTCGGCGACAGACAGTATTTAAAATCATGCAACATAAATGTTTGATTTAAACTCAGGGTAATCACGTGCATGTAAGAGGAATCAAGTGAAATTTGCAAGGAGCTTTGATATTGCTGGAACCCACCAAGGCTACACCCAGGATCTGGGGGAAGGTGTAAGAGGAGCATCCAGAGGGGGTGAGATGGAGCGCTGCACATGGAGTTTGGAACCAGGCCCTCTCACTGGCCCACACCACATCACACAGTGGCAGGATGGAAGCTCCTAAGCCGAGAGCCGGCCCGTTTATTGCCACCACAATGGGCTTCTTGAAATGGATGAATGCCAACACAAAGTCCCTGAAGAATCACAGAACAATCGTTACCAAATCTGTCAAGTCCAAAGGACAGTGATAAGAGAGTCTGTGTTTATGATGGGAAGATGTGTACTTACCGCACAGCATCTGCGATACGGCTGCTCTCTTTCCTGCGGTCAGTGGACAGACGCCCTATCAGGTAGGACAGCTCCAGACCACTGCAGAAAACTGTTCCCACGGAGCTGAGCAGTAATAGTTTACTGTCGTCTGCGGCTGCATTACCCAGAGCTCGACACAATTCCTTCATGATCTGGAGGGAAAAAGGAGGAGATGTACATTGTGTTATGAAGTCACCTGACACATGAAAAAAGAGTCAGGCCTGACATGCACTCATCTACTGTCAGCTTTTTCTTGCACATATACAGACCTGAGAAAACAAAAACTGTACAGACGGGTTTACAGACTGTCACTGTCAGATGACATCTGCTCTGTTATGCTCTACCTTTGGTTCTCAGTGGATTTTCACAAAAACGCACTAGAATAATTTGCACCAAACTCTGAGGAGGGATGGGATGCAGGCCAGAGAGGCCAGATTTCAGTGGCGACTTTGGTTCTAACTAGTTAATGCTACATTCTAAGAGGCGGTGGAGTGCAGGTGATATGTTTACATGACGACTTGCTTATTTCCTTGACAGTGTGCCTGCCTGTGTTACCAGCAGCTACTCCTCCTGACGTGGAACAAATACGTGTTGTAAGAAAATAATTTCCAAAGAAATACAATGCCTGATTTTATCTTTATTAATTCATGGGAAGTAATCTGAGGGATGTTAAAAACCCAGACACGCAAGTGCATTCACCCGAGTACTTGTACTGTAATACCTCAACAAATGGACTGTGAAAACACAAGTTAAAGCCTGAACGGTGCATCGTTCTGCATCAGCATACATGTGTTTGGACTAACCCTGTTAAGAAGTCATCTGGAAACCCCGACCCACATCCCATCTCGCCTCTGTGTGCACTCAATCTGCTGCTGCATTATGATCACATTATCACCTGACCCAAAATAACAATTTAACCTAGAGTGAGTTTACTTCTCTATGTCTCACCAAGCACATAAACTGTGTGTGTGTATGAGAGAGAGAGTGAGACAGAGAGAGAGAGAGAGAGAGAGAGAGAGAGAGAGAGAGAGAGAGAGAACAGATGACTGTATTATTTTTGCAGCAAGGTGAATTATAATCCTGCTCAGACAGAGTACGTGGAGCAGAGACAGACAGATGTTGGTCCCACTCTGAGGCACAGGGAGGAAGAAGAGAGCAGTCACGCTGACATTCATGTGCAGTGAGCAGACGCCTCAAGGATATTTGTAGACAAATAAATGTGGTGGCCGCAACAAAGACACCCACAACAGTATCCATCAGCGTTTTGAGAAATTGAGTAGATATGACAGACGAGTTTCAGTTCAGACTTAATTTATGGCATTTCTTCTGTTGCACGTCTGTCTAATAACTCCAGAAGTCTCTCTCTGTCTACCAGACTATCAAAGTCATATCTGGAGAAGCTTTCATCCTAATCACATTTGTCATGTGTATTTTTAAAGGTAAAAAAAAGAAGTAGACACAAGATACTTTCAATATTAAACTTCTGCGCTCTTAACGCTCTGTAGCATAGTCCATGATCAGCTGCCACCACGATCACGATCCAGCATCACGATCTCTGAATCGCCAATAGCAGTATAATACAAGAACAAGCACGTCAGGCCAGAAAGGTGACAGAATGAGTGCAGTTAATCGATTTGGGGACTTTCTCACTTGAAGTAAGTGTTTAAAATAGAGTGCGTAAATATTTTAATTAAATGTACAGGAATAGTTTTGAAGATTTTCCCTGCTAAAGCCATCGAGTAGACACATCTGCAGACTCTCTTGTTCCTGGAGCTTCAAAGACAGAGACAGAGAAGACGCTATCAGAGCTGTTTGATAAGTCTACGGCTTACAGGCTTACTGTCACACATGAAAGTACACGTACACATACGCAGTTTAGACCACTTGCCCACACCACAGTGAACGTGATGCTGTTTCAAATACAGAAACTGCCCTCTGTGGAGGATCTAAGACACATCATATAATCTGGGGGGAGAAAAATCCTACTTTCCACCAGGGGTTGTGATGCACACTATTATCTGTTTCTAAACTCACCATTACATTAACATACCTCTAAGGAATCAACAAAGAAAACTAAATTACCGCTGTTTGTCTGCATCCATTTTTTTCAAAACATATATGAACTCAGACGTAGATTTGAGATATCATGTTCAAGAGGCAAAACCATGTGACATGTGGTGACATTTGACCTTTGACCACCCACATTGAATCAGTTAATCCGTGAACACAAGTGAACATTTCTGCCAAATTTGAACATTCCATCAAGGCAAAACTAGGATTTTGTGATGCCACAGTGACTTTGACCTTTAACTTTTGACATTAGTTTAAGTGTCTACTCATAATAGATTCAAATTGAGAATTTTCCAAATAGACAATGATTTTTAGCAGGAGCTACTTCTGGTCTATCACAACTTTATTGTGAGGTTTCAATCATAAATATAGACTTTAATGAGCTATCCAGTTTTACTGTGCAGGGGAACTATCAGTAGTGTCAGATGTGCTAACTGGGAAATCTAATCTGATGATTTTTGTGGATGATTCCAAAAACAGATTTGTCGTTTTGACAGATTAAAAACGAACTGCTTGTTCAACAAAGTGGCAATTCATAAATTACAAGTTCGCATATTCAAACAGAAGGTTACAAAATAGCACCACAGTGGATACGGAGGGTTCAAAAGTCATTAGGCAAGACAAACATTGAAAAGTGCAGTCAGGGGGAAAGTTTCGAGAGAAACAGAAGTTACTGAATAGATCCAGGGGAAATGTAAACGCAGCAGCTTGATGTTGATTAGAGAGTGGAAAACGAGCAGCCAATCACAGCCGCTCACATCGCTGCAGGCGGCCAATTCAAGAAGCAAATCATCGCAGTGCAATAAGCTGCAGCATCAGAGCAGAAAGCCATTTAACCAAAGCCAGTGCTGCAGATGCACATGTTCCAGCCTTAATTAACTCTTTCATTAATTTGAAATATTTCTCAGTTTAGTATCTTTACTAAGAATGATGGTTTGTGTATGACTGGATATTGTGACAGGTATAATATTGTTTAACATAAACATAAATGTGAGAAAACTGTGTTAAAATGTTTAAATTCCCGTCATCACAGTGTTATATCCCGATAGATTACAACGTAACATCTGTATTCAGGATGTACAGTTCGCTCTGCCATGGAGCGAGTTTGAGTGACATGAATTAGCAGGTGATCGACAAAGTGAGATGGAGAGAACACATCATAAAGTCAGTGAACACAGCTTGGCTCAGATAATATGCCCCAAATACCTGTAGAGAAAAGTCAGCTGGTTTGTTTATCATCAGGACTCATCAGAGTTGCTGCCAAAAATAGTACGATCCTGTTGATAAAACTGGAAATTAACTGTTTGATAACAGTTTTGTGAATGGTTTATTACCTCCACCAAGGATGTCACATTTTTATCGGCCTTCGTTTGTTTGTAAGCAATATTACGCAAAACCTCCAGGATGGATTTTAATTTAATGAAATTTAAAAGGATAAAATGTTGTTGCGGATCAGATTAGGGGGAGATCCAGGATGTTTTTGCACTTTCTATAACATTGTGTGATAGGAAGACATTTTACAGAGATCTTTATGAAAAAAATCCAGCATGTGTAGAGTGCTATAATCTATGAGCAGATGAAATTTGGTGCAGATTCAGCAGATGATGCCAATTTTGTGAATCAAAATAATATTTTTTTATTAGGTTAGTGATTTTTATTTAGTTACTGTACAGTAACAAATATTCCTTTCAAATCAGAGAATGGGTAATTTCCCCGGGTTTAGTGTAAGCACTTTGCAGAACATTTCTGTGTGCATGCTGTATGTATCTAATGTCAATATGCAATATGGCCAATGAGCTTTGGTGGAGGTATGCGCCCTTTGTGTGACCTTTCAAATGTTTTTAATGCTTTATTCTTCTGTATTGGTGTGTTTAACCTTCTAAAAGTTTGGATTTTATAACAAATAAATTCAGTTTTGATACTGAACAATAAAGTATAGACATTTTATCACTGAGCGTACATTTCTTTCCATAGTTTACTCCTGCAGAGACTCTAGTGTTATTATTGCCCAGCAAGCAGTGAATATCATTGAAAATCTGGCCATCTCTTTATAAGAATATTTACATAATTTCCTCACTCGTTCAACTAGCATTGTGCTGTAATAACAACAGACGGCATTGTGCTGGATTGTATTTTGTATTGTATACTCATAATTGCCCTCCTTGTAGAAAACTTGTTTGGCAGGAGGCAGATTTTAGGAAACCGTGTTGGTCGTGTATTTTCTTATTTTCTTTTCTCTGTTGAGCATTCATATTCTTTTCCAGCAATGTCTTGTGTAGAATTCATGCAGGTAAACATATTCCCGTCTGCCAGCTGTTAAATAAAAACATTTTCTGAAGTTGAATCATGAAATACTCCCCTGGAGCAGTTTGTGAATTAATGTATAGCTCCAGGGCTTCTCTACAGTCGTTACTGAGAAACTGTTTCTCGTTTATATTTCCTCAACAGAGCTCCATGATGGGACATAATCAAGAAGTAACACAATTAAGTGAAGGTCTTAATAAAATGAACTAACTAGTAACTCGTATGCATGATCAGTGTCTACATTCTCGTTCTCACCTCTGGCGTCAGGGCGTTGTTGTCCGTCGTTTGGCTGGAGAGCAGGACATGCGTGAAGCCCTCCTCCTTCCTGACCACGATGTCTCGGAAGCGACAGTTGCTCTCGTTCTGTCGCACGTTGTACCTGAGCCGCTTGTCAAACACGTAGCCTTTCTCGTCAACCAGCTTCCGCTTTACTGAGCTGTGCAGATGCATCTTTCCGTTGGCAAGAGGGCAGCCTGACACAGAGGAGGGATAACACACAGCAGGTCAATCTGTATTCTGTAAATATTACACACCTACTCACAGACCAGATAACCAAAGCAACTCAGTGACTGGATATGTTACTGTCAAAGCCTGTGTGTAAAATTTACAATTTACAATTTACAACATCGGTTGATATTTACTGTGACAGTCCACCAGGCCGAGCAACACAAGTAATCAGGTGTTTTGGGGAAAACAGTAAAACAATGACTGACATTTCATTTTACACCAAACTGTTGAATAATATTATATAAACCATATTATCTAACCCAGTGATTTGGATAATATGGTTAAACTGGTTAACTTTTTAAAAAGCTCCTTTGAAAAATGTCTGTCTTCAGCTTTATCTGACTTGTGAAAATAATATATTTGCAGATCTGATGTGGAAAAGTGGGCAATCTGTCTTAAGTGTAGAGACTCAATGACTGTCAGCTGAGGAAAACTGTTGCTCCTCCTCAGAGAAAATGTCTTTATTGCCATAGTGTGGCCAGACTGAGTCTATTAACTGTTAACCTAACCTTACTTTTACTTTCTTTATATTTATTGTTTCACCAATATTACTACATACTGTTGTTATCATAGTTTTTAAGATAAAACATTTCTTCATTTGTGATGTTAAAGCTGCATAAAACTTATATACAGGCTATTTATATACAGAAACAAAAACTGTGGCTTCTGGGCTCATTCAAAGAGCTTGTAGTTCTTATAATCATCTATAACTGAGAGGATAATTGAATGGAGTATGATGTAAATGAGTGTAGATACCTGACCTGAGCCAGTTGGGACCTGAGGGGTCAGGCCAGGCTCAGACAAATGTTTTGAAATTATATTCAGGTTGGGTTCTATCACTTTTACATTGGCTGGATTATCTACCAACCCTAACCCTGTGATCACAGAAGCTTGGGTAGAGTTCAGAAAGAAACAACGGAACGCCTGTCAGGCAAATTTTCTCTCTGGCTCGGTCAGATTAGGACAGAAAATTGCAGCTGGGCTGCACTCTATCTACGTACTGTAGATAGACATGCTTGTAGTAATGTTATTCTTATTTAGAAATGATCAGCACTGCATTTGAATGCCTCACCAATTCTACACAAGCAGGGATTCTAATTTATTTGCATTTGTTAACAAATGTACCATGTTTGTTATGGCACTTCCTCCAAGGGTATTTTCTTTAAATGCAACCAAAACAATCAAAGCAGGATTCAATTAATCTCAACTTTACTTGATTTCATTGATATTTAAAGATTGAAACCAGACATGGACTTGAATTTCCCTGCATTGCAAATTTGGATATTACGAAAATTATGCACTTTCACTGAAAGATTGATTTGTGGGAGCAATAAAATATGTTTAGCACTAATATTACTTGAGGGGCTGTGACTCAGCGGTTACAATGGGTCTTCCACTAAAGGTTGTAGTATGAGCCCTGGCTCCTTATATGCCCAATTGCCTGATTTCCCCCCCCTGACTGACCCCTGATAGAAAGGTGCTGCATGAATTTGTCTGTAAATGGTTCAATATAACTTGTAGCGTGAAGCACTTTCAGAGGTCGTTGAGACTAGATAAGCACTATGTACAAATGGAGTCCATAAAAAAGCAGTACATTTTCAACAGTGTGAATGATGAGACTCTGGAGAAAAACTTTGTGATTTCTAGGTGATAAAAGTTGAAAAAATCACAAAAATCAGTTCAACTTGACCTTTGAGTCACCAGTACAAAGATGAATGAGACGTAAAGTGAGAAAAGGGCAGTTGTAACTTTTGGGGAATTATCAAAACAAATGATGGGAATTCTCGGCTGAAACTTTGAGTATCCACTCCAGCTCTCTCAAACCCAAAACTAAATAAATTGGTGTTAGTCCCAAACAGAAAACCAGTCGACAGCAACACCCTCTGCCACTGCAGCATGCTAATGGGTGGAGCTGTGGGTGCTGGATCAGGTGAGTGGGGTAGTCTTTCAAGGATTAGGAGATTAGGCTCCATTATAGCTGCCAAACCAATAGCCACCAGGTTAGCCTGCTAGCCTTTAGACTCTCCCATAGAGATGCGCTTTGCTCACAATCACTAATTACATTGTGGTGCTTTGAAAACAACTGATGGATTCCATATAGGTCTTCTACAGTGTTTGTCTATTTTTAGGATGATGTTCTTGTGCTGCATCAGATTGGCCACATCTAAAATTCCACCATCAATTAGTCTATCAATACAATGAATAACAAGGTGTTTGGAATGATAAACAGCAAAAACTAATAATCAATCAGTCCACAACAAGCATATAATGCACACAATACATAAATACCCACGAGAATGCATTCTGTATATTCTATGGTATGGGCATATTGCAGCAAAGGCTGCTGACACCCACAAAAGAGGACAAAATATTCCCTTGAGAGGTACTATAGACAGCTAGACTGGTGGCTCAATATTCATTCTACAGTTGATACAGTATATATGGGGAGTTATTCAAATATTGTAAAAAAAAAAAAAAAAAAAAAAAAACATTCTGATGTTGGTTTTCAGTTAAATAAACTAGGATAGCTTAAAAAAATGTAATGATTAACTACAGTGGCAGAGGCCCTGGACTGTGACCCAAGAGAAAGAATCAAATGTGTTATCAGATGCTCCAGTAGTGAAGAACCACAGAAGAAGCTTTAAGAGCTATGTGTCAGCAGGTCTCAACAATATAAAAGTGTATCTGCTCTTTACAAGCAATACAGTCTATCATCTAACAGGAAATACTCATTGTATTATAAAAATACCATAAAATGGTATGCATCTAAACTGAATCTGTTATGAATCTATTTGTGCGTAGCTGCCTGGTCAGTTAGGAACATTTCACTTTCTGTTTTATATGTAGGCATGTGGAAAGGTTCACACTCCAGGGTATTTTCCACTAGAACCAAACCGATACATCTGCATGGCTGATGTTAGCCATAAGCCATTTTTAGTTCATCATGGATTTATGACTGCTAATAAGTAACATGAGACTACAACACAAGAAACTATAGTGGACAATTTATAGAGAGCAAAAGTCCTAAAGTCACATCTGGACTACTCTCAAATTCTAACTCTATATAATCTCTCAATAAACATGTCTGTCCTTCATTATCCTTCATTTTCTGAGGGTCAAAATGAATTGAACAAATCAACAGTTATAAATGTAAGAATTATTTGTAATTATTTTATGAAAATGTTTTGCAGTCAATCACATCACCCTATACTGAGTTCCCAGAGATGCTTTGCCAGGCCTTTACTACAGCCACGTCAAGTTGCTTCACGTTTTCTGCGATTCATTTCTGACTTCAGTTTGTTTTCAGTAAAAGAAAAGCATGCTCAATTGGGTTGCGGTCAGGTGACTGACTGAATATTCTATTTATTTTCCTTATGCGGCTCTTGGGTTTATTTCACACTATGTTTTGGGTCATTATCCAGCTGCACTGTGAAATGCCATCCTATCAGTTTTGCAACATCTGCCTGAATCTGAGCAAATAGGGTAGCCCCATGCACTTAGGGAATTCATCTAGATACCTCTATCAGCAGACATAACAGCCCTTAACCCCAGTGACCCGGTTCCATTGGCATCCGTACATGCCCATTACATAACACTGATCCACTATATCTGATATACCCATACATAGATCTCTGTACTCTCCCCATCATTCTAGTACAGGATAGTCCTTGGTTACCTTGTTCCAGAACTGCAGCCTTCTCTGATATGAGATAATAAATGTTCTGTATTTTTTTTCATTAGGTGTCTCAGTTATGGACATGATATGATGAGGTACAGAGATGAAAATTATAAAAACAACTTTGTAACTCGCAAAGTTCTTAGAGACCAAACTGCAAGCAGTAAACACCAGGAACGTGGATTGTCATTTATCAAACCAAGGAAAGACATGCTCAGTGAGAGATTGTATTGAGTTACAGAAGCATGTGCAACAGAGGCAAGCCTGGATGTGACATCAGGACTAATAATATTTTTTAACCTAAATAAGTAACATTCACAAACGTTTTAAAAGGGGTGCTTTAAATATAGGAATCAAATAAACATGGATTATGGTCCATCCAGTGTGGTGGTGTACGAAGACAAAATTATGAAAATGGACCTGACTGAAAACCTACAACCTTTGGGATATTCATAAAGTTAAACAACTATCACGTTGTGGTTGAAGAAATTAAGCTCCCATGAAACCTTGCCAGCAAGGGTGTTTATATCATCGAAACATGGTCTTATAAAACCCAGCAACACACTAACTGCTGCTGCTGTCTAAACACCAAACATGTCTGAACCAAACATACCGAATAAATTCATAACAAACTGTTAAGCAAGGTTTCTTTCCAACGGTGAATTAGTAATTATTTGCATAATTACAAATGTCAGTGGAATTTTGAATGAGCTTTTCTTACTCCTGGAACAGAATACGAGTTTGAGTTTCCCTTTGGCTTTCTATTTTATAATCATATTTTATTAAATCACATTTCAATATGAATATTTCAAAAATCAAGTATCAGCTTAGCTGTGTTTTTCATTGCATTCAGTATCTCACCAGCTTACCTAGTTCAGCGGTGTACTGCTGTCCAGTAGTATCTGTGTCTCCTTGTTCTCCATCCACTTTGTCTGTGGGCAGTCTATGTGACCTTGCTGCTGTCCTGTACACGAGAGGCTCCAAGTCTCCATTCTGGAGTCCATTATGAGGAACCCTCCCTGGGGGAACAAAGTGAGCCCCCCTTGGTAGAGGAGCCTTGTAGGTCATGGCTTTGTCACCTAAAGTATGTTTCCCAGGTCCTACACTCATCTTCCTTTGCTTCAGAGAAGGCCCTGACCCTCCACTTCCGATCCCGAGAACAGGTCCTACTCCGACCCCCACAGCTGGGCCACCAGTCCTTTTCTTTTTTCGAGCATCTGACCGAGCTCTGTTTTCTGTAGCAGATGGGTGGCTGGTGATGAGGGGCTCTCCACGACTTTTTGGAGCTTTGGGCCGTTTGTGTGAATGCAGTCTCAAGCTGTTGAACTGGTCAATGAATTCCTCGCAGTGCAGTAAGTGGTGCTCGGGCTCCCATGTGTCCTCCTTACTTCCATAACCTTTCCACCTGATCAGGTACTCCCACTTACCCTTCTTGTTCCGCCTCTTGTCCACGATCCGCTCCACCTGAGGGCAGCACACACAGGGACAAGCAATTAGATAGTACCTTAATGACTAAAGATTTGAATATATAGATACAGTATTATTTCCTGCTCTACAAATAATGGTGTGGTAAGCACTATAATGTCTACAAATGATATCTTTAACCTTAAACAGTTGCATGCCTCCTCCAACAAAAGCAGATTCAGTCTTTATACATTTTTTTTCCAGACTCATGAGTTCACTCCATCACTGGAGAAAACCCATTCCAGCCACTGGTAGTCACTATCTCATATTTTCAGTTACTAATGAAAGTTGATGATCATAGGTGACAGTTGGAATGTAGATTGACCTGTAAATCAAAAGTTTAGCCTCGCAGGTCAGCTGCTGAAACTGCATCAATCCATCTGAAAAATTCCTCAGTTTTACTCACTCCAATGCAGGCAAATGTCTCCACTTGAGGCAGCAACTCAATCCCAACTCAAAGGGAGCATTCCACCCTTTTCAAGCTAAAAACACAGCCTCAAACTTTGCAGTGCTGACTTTCACTCCAGCAACTTCACACTTAACTGCAAACCATCTCGGTGGGGAAGGATTTCTCCCTCCGCTCCCAGTGGCCAGTCCCACAATGAGAGACAGGTCAGCTGTCGGTGATTTTGTGAGAGGGGCTGAAAGGTAGAGGTGGAGAGAGAGAGAGAAGGGCAAAGACGGGCTGAGCAAATCAATGTGCACAATGACTTAACGCCACTAAACCCTGCATTATGTTTTTGAGAGATGAGGAGACATTCCTTTCATTCAATGTGATACAGGCTATCATGTCTAGGTAATTACAGGGAAACATTGCTTGAGGTCTGTTGAAGCCTACAGAACCACGATGTCTGCAAAGAGCAGTAATACAACTCTGAACACATGCCCCCCCGGCTGCACCTTGAAATCCTGTCAGCGAAAATCAGCAACAAGATGAGTGACAAGGGATGACACTGACAGAGGCCAACAATACCCACTGGAAAGATGTTTAAGACTTTCTGTCAAGAAAGCAAACACAACTCTCTCACTTTGGTTAAACCGCTGGATGGCTTGTTGTAATGGCTACAGTGCCCTATACTCACACAGTACCCCCACAAAATCCCATAAGAGATGTGGTCATTAGCCTTATCTAAATCGACACAACATATGCAGAATAGTTGAGAGAACTCTCAGGATCTCTTCACTAGCCTTGCAGAGATAAAGATTTGGTCCATAATTCATTACCCAAGTTTGATGCTTCAGGACACCCAATGACCAACCAAGCCAAAAAGGTCTCCTTCTTAATCTTGAAGGCCTTGATTGTTGTAGTCTCTGTTACACCTGTGCTCAGCCCTGAATGACAGGGCCCACACCCAATATCATCTACTGCACCACCACCTGTCTCCCCTGAACCAACGATGTTGGCCAGGATTGACCTAATCTGACTCAGAGCCAGAGGCTAGAAAACACAAAATCTATGTAAACCACATTAAATCACAATTACTAATTTAACAGACACTTTTATCCAACGTGACTTACAACTGAGGGACAAGACTATGCTTCAGTATAGTAGGTGACCTTGAAGTGAGTACTAAGTGCAAGATCTGTTCAGTATGACAATGTGTGGGAGATAAGATAAAGAAGTGTACCACGAAGGGCAAACTATTGAAAACATTTCACAAACCATTTGAATGCTATGGCTGGAACTTTTAGAAACTTGGGCTGACATTAGGGTATTAGACATTAAGGTGGAGGAAGTAACTTGTTCATAAGACGTAATAAGACGTAATAGTGACCAATCCTCAGTGTTAATTGCTAAGTCTCGTTTTCTGGTCTTTAAGTTTTCATTCCCAAACCACATCTATGCGAAGGAAATAGCCCCTCTTTCAGGCACAAGCTCCTCTTTATATCATGGCTGGTCTGAGTGAGCCTGATCAGACTAAGTATATTTTGAATGTTAAACATCAGGTTCATACTGCTCAGTGCTATAACAGTAACAGAAACACGCATGACTTGGCCTTATCACGTATGACACATGCATATAGTGTTGCCATCTGTCGATAAAGTCAAGCCTACTCTGTAGGTATATACTGCCTGTGGAGCAGAACCCCCATTGAGTACCATAAATACGGTTTCAGGTAGGACAAATCAAGATTTTCTATATTTTCTTTTTTTTCTAGATTCCATAAGGAGGCAGCTTGTTCATATGAAGGTACACAAGCATGACAATTCTCAACATAGAGCACTGTGCAGCACTTTTTAGGGAGTGAATTTGTGAATATTCACTTTAGTGGAAATTGGAGGACACCTGACATGTCCATCTGTTTATTGAACCAGAAATTGAGTTTCAACGGAGAGTTTAATGCAGCTGTGGAAATAACAGCTCATCATGCACTCGGATGTTCTGAGCACATCAACAAAGAATAAACAACCTTTGATGAGTGAGCTCTAATGGTATCACTGAAATGAGCAGGAGATTTGAATGCAAGCTGTACCCAACAATGTCGCAGATACATGCACCAAAAAGGAGAAGTAGAGTAGAGCAGGTAGATAGAGTTGTATTCAAAGACCAGAGGTGGAGTGACTCTTAGAGCTTAAAGGTTCAGTGTGTAGAATTTAGATTTGCATGTTACAACTGAACATGAACACCCCTCACCCCACCCTCCCCGTCCAAACATGAAAGAGAACCTGTCGTAGCCTTCAGGTGTCATAAAAACTGAAAAGTGTTTAGTTTGCTGAGTTTTGACAACTGTAAAAAACACGGTGGCCTCCATAGAGAGGACCCGCTCCTGATGTAAATATAAAGTATTTAAATATTAAGGGTCCATTCTAGGGTAGAGAATACAAAAATTTAAACAATTTAGATGAAACACACTAGTGATCGCTAGGATTATTTTTTATTCACATTTTGCCAATAGATCCCTTTTACCTAAATCTTACACACTGAACCTTTAAGCATGGGCTGAAAGAGTGGAGGTGGGTATATCCTCCCTCATTTACTAAATTCCTTTTCAGCATCCTCCAAGAAGAGCTTAAAATGGTTTCTAAACCATAAAGACAGGTGTGTATGTACACCCTGTCATCACTGTTGGGTGTGGTCACTGGTGCAACAGAGCACGTCATACTGGGTCTACATTATCATCTATATTTTTAGCTTAGTGACCTCACATCTGAACTGTCCTATGAGCTGTCCTCGTCCATCTCGGGGGGTCAGAACCAGGATTTTGGCTACATCCACACAAATACCTTTTAGTTCTAAAACAGCATTTTAAAACAGTGGTGCAACCAGTCCCTGAGGAGTTGGCTCTCCTGTGCTAAACCACATCACTTTTCAATGACTGTTTAGTTTTATCATTAAAATCCTTCATCAAGGCTTTCGATTAAACAGGGCAGCTACAATGAAGGCCCATGGGAGTGTTTGATGGTCAAAGAAAGCAGATTTCACATGGACATTCTATTATATGTCAAATGTTGCAAAAAACCAATAAGAAAAGTAGCAAATGACTGCAGTGGTCAGTTGTTGTCAGTTGTTGTTTTCTCCATTACACTGTACATCTAACATTCTTACATAATTTGCTGGTGCTTATGATACTTTATTACATTTTACAAAGTTAGCAGACAGCCTGACCTTTATACACAAGTTTGTAAAAAAGATTTCCCATCTTCCTTTTTAGATGGTTTGATGTTGTGATATCTCACCATCTTATGTACTAAATATTGAATTCAGACAAGTAACTGCAGGTAAAATACTGAATTCATTCCCTCTTTCGATCAATGACAGAAAAGTACTGAATTTCAATGCCAAACCACAGTCTCAGTCTGTCTCACTTTATCTTTGAGGTCACTGCTTTCTCATTTCAAAGCCTCAAAGCCAAGATTACACATAACTCCCCAACGTCATCTTTCCAAGATACAAAGTCTTTGACTCGAGAGGTTTAAAGACGGCTAATGAACAAAACTCAGGATTCACAATGTCTTTTTAGAGACATTTGTAAGATGTCAAGACGCTCTTCTTAAAACCTGTGAGATTGGCCCAGTCTGTGTATAATGAGTGGTTCTGCTAGAGTCACTGCTTGTGCACTGCATTCTACATTTTATGGATCAAACACGCCTACTACTACACACTCAAACTCTGTCTCAACAGTCCAATGCATCAAATCCCAAGAGACAAAATGACCAACAGACATGACCTAACAAGACTGCCTCCACTTTTAGAACACTCTTTCAAACAAACCACTTCTACATTATATTATTAGCTAGTTTATTGACACTGGCACTCCCAACACTCATTAAAAATATTACACATCAATGATAAGAGATTAAGCCCTCCATATTTAAAATGTTTATTTTGATAATTTTTAAATAAAAGCTGTACAGCACCAGAGAAATTAGGTCGACCACAGGGCTGTTATCACATTAGTGTCGATCCCACAGACATAAGGATGGATGACATGACCACTGCAAAAGTGAAGCCAAAGCATCTTGATTTCCCCCTGGTGGTTGGTTGCAGTGCAGTTCATCTATCCCTCCTCCTGCATGTCAGTGGACGGGACATGGATCAAAATTAAAAAGTTTAACTACAACGAAAAACAATTTTTCTCAAAGAGGGTTTCTGTCATTTTATTCAAATGTTCATTCATTATTTTAGTTCAGATAGTTATTTGTAGCTATAAAAAGGGGCAGAATGTCATGTCATGATGTCATGATTGACATCTAGACTGACTCACAATTGGTCAAGCATGTGTATTGGCAAGACTATACTGCCTCATCTATGGTCAATCCAAAGACTCAGTTGGCTGTTGATTGGTCATGCCTGCCAACATGTTGCTACTAACAAAGAAATCATATCGAGTGAGTGATAATCCCAGAAAACCAATAACCTGTTCAACAAAGATCAACAGGTCCACACACAGGACAGCTGTGGTGTATGCTGACAGTGGATGAGTGTATGTGATTGAGCTGAGCTGTATATATGGGTGAGAGTTACTAGTAGTGTAAAGCACTTTAGTGAGTTCAAGTTAAAAGTAAAATAAAGAATTGAGTAAAACGCCATATAAATGCAGTCCATTTCCCATCCATCATCCATCCGTATCCAGAATGCTAATCCTTTGAGGGATGTTGGGGGATGGACCCAATCCCAGTTGAGACAGGGAGAGAGGTGGGGTGCACCCTGGACAGGTCTCCAGTTTATCTCAGAGCCGACATTCAGAGACAAACAACCATTCACTCTCATAGTCACACAAACAGTCAATTTACAGTCTCCAATGAACTGAACCCCAACTTGCATGTCTTTGGACTGTCCTTGTGAAAAATAATATTTCAACTTCCAGGCTGTCACATGAGACAAATTTCACCAGGAACAAGCAATGTTACGCATCTAGGATTTCACCTTTTAAACAAGTCCAAATTTACTCACTGTTACTTCACCGATGTAATATTACATTAACCCATTTTCCCCAGTCAGTACCGAACCATTTGATCGCAACATGAAACTATCAGGCTTTAGCTGAGAATGCTATCAATTGAATTTATTAAACTGCAACATGCTGGTAAAATCATCCTCCTGACATGTTTAAAAATAAAGAAAGAAACCACAGCCACAGCATGTGAACATATTCAGTCATTAAATCGGGATTTGTGTCACAGAGTTTGACCGTTGAAAAGAGTAATAATTGTAATAACATAATTCATATCCAGATATTATCATCAACACACTCTTAGATATGAATATTGGATATTTAGCCCAACTCTGAGAACTTATTTGTGTACTTCCTGCTTCACATATTCAACTAAGTGGCATATAACTGATGCTCATCATCTGCTGTTGGACAGTGCTGTGAGCTGATAGTGTTATCTACTTCAAACACTCATGGGACGAGTAGTAGTACGAGTATAGTTTAAAAAAGGGGGACAACTTGTCAAGTGAGACATGAAGTCAGCAGACCCTCATGTCAGTCACCACCATGAGGTGAAACATATGACACCATGTCAGCAGTAACACCGCCTGGTGACGGTGAGGGGCTGATGGAGGAACCTGGTCAATTCTGGCACCAGGTCCAGAGAGATGTTGCGCACACGAGGGCAACGTGACCTTCCTGTCACCCGTTTGGGCAACTTTTTATTTCCCAATAACAGAGCTCACCCTGACTTCTTTATTCACACAAATAAACCGGTGGCTCGTCTTCTACCTCCGAACTGTCGCAGCACGGCGAGGGGCTCCATATCTTTCACAAACATGCGCACCTTCTGCGACCATCACTCCGTCTGCGCCGTTCACCATGTCCGCCCGCTCCGCGCCGCTGTCACTTTACCACCACTTCCAACTCGGCGACACACTGAGAGGAGTTGAGCCCCGCGAAGCACTTCCCATCTCCCCGCCACAGCCCCCGCGAGCACCGACCTCAAAGTGTGCCAGGAGCGACAGAAAGTGCGAGCACGGATCCGAGCAGCCTCGTCTTCGCGAAGCTTGAGACGGGTTAGTTTCGCGTGTTAAAGGGCTTAGGACGCCGCGTTTCACATACGCTACGCCCTCCCCTTTACTTCCTAATTCCAGTGTTCGTCAATATTACGGCGCATTTCTCTCGCACCGGGTTTTTATCCTACCTCGTAAAGGTCTCCCGAAGCCATTCTGGGGTGCGGACTCCGGCGGCGCGGCGGTCTCTTGCCTCTGCCTTGTTGGCTCTTCTTTTTCTTTTCTTTTTTTTTTTGAGGACCCGACTCTCTCGGTGTTTCGGCTGAAGCCCCGGTGGACGGGAATTAGCGAGCAGCCCTTGTTATTCTGAGCAATCCGCAGCAGCAGATCAGCAGACAGTGTCAATCGAGCCCGGCGCGCTGCGATGGATCGTTCCACACTTAAAACAAACAACCATCGGGGCGGTGCTGTTTACTCAGACCCAAGTGCAGGACTGGAAACTAGTCCCCGGCTAAGAATGCACCGCCCGATGGTGTGTCTGCATGCGCCCTGCTCCTCTGTTGCAATCCAACTACTCAACGGGAGATGATATGCTGGTGTCACACACACACACACACACACACAGACACACACACACGCAAGCACACACACACGATGACATAGATCCTCTCCATGACCTCCTCTACCTGTCCACTTTGCTGTCGAGGGAAAGAGCTGAGCTAACCTTCAGCTAGATTGAACTGGAACTATTTTTGATTGATGAATGGACACTATGAAAACTATTGATCCTGAGCATAAACTCAAAATCCCTATAACTTTCAGAACAGGCTACTTTGATAATCATGGTCAATATTCATTCATTATTAATCAGTGTGTTGAGATTGAAGTTTATGATGATGATTTTAAATCATTTTCTCAATCACCCTATATTAAAAATGACCTCATCCAACACAGTTTGCCTTCTCATCACCACATTATTATCTGTAGTCCTCCGCTGTACGACATAGCTGTATAGTAAAGATTCATGTGGGCAGGAATAAGCTCACACTTGCTTAAATACTTTAATACTTTACATTTTTCATTAACCGGTATTCCATCATATCATGAAAAAAACCCTGATTTCATATATTGATACAAGTCTCGAGAAACACAGAGTTGAAACTCAGCTAATGGTTTTTCGGTTTTTCTAGAGTAAAGAATTGTGTGTCTATTTAATTTGTTATATTTTATTTATGTCAAACTTTCAAAACAGGCTACTTTGATAATTATTGCCAAAATGTATTACTTATTAATCAGTGTGTTGACATAGAAGTATATGATGATGATTTTAATACATTTTCTCAATCACCCTATAATAACAATGACTTCATCCAACAGTTTCCCCTCTCGTCACCACATTATTATCTGTAGTCCTCAGCTTTATGACATGGCTGTATAATAAAGATTCATGTGGCAAGTCATCATCGTGTGTCATCATAAATTAATGATTATTGGAATGCTGACAACATAAATAGATCATTATGAACATTTTGATTTTATACTTTTCATTCATTTGGTTCACAGTGATATCTAAAATATACATTTTTATATCATACACAATATAGAAATGACTTTAAAGGATTTAAATGGAAATATGCAATACTATAGTACTTGAACTTCCCATGGTCAATACTGTACATACACATCAAACTGTAATTATCTACCATTCATGTTGCACATATCATGTTTCATAGTGTTTTATATGTTTCTGGTAAAGACAGAGTGGAGAGCCATAATAATTTGGTAGTTTTTCTAAATCTTATATTTCTGCACACATGATCAATCACAGTTCTGACAAACTAAAGAATCCTTACACACATGCATCCACACATTTAACTTATATAGTCTGTAAAAGATTACAATTATAAAGAAATTATACAACAGAACACAACGTTACGAAAACTAATTCTGCCTGTTTCATGTTATACTGAGGCTGAGGTCTGGGGGAGAGGAGCTCAGTGCAGATGATGTGTAAGTGTTCTCCAGGCCAGATTTAGAGCATAACTGTTCCTGTGTGTGTGCTACAAAGTAAGAATATCCCACCATGCTGTTTGAGTACAAAGAGAGGCCACCATTGTAAAAACAAACGCTGAAGAAAACTTGAGCACATATTTCTTTGATGAAAACACAGAAGAGGTCATGCTGATAAAATAGCAGAGATGTAAAGTGCTGTCTTATTTTGCCCTTCAATTAATATTGAAGTCAGTAAAGTTTGGTAAGGGTTGTGGAAATACTTAACTGAATGTCTTTTAACATAATATTATTACTTTATATGGGCCTAAATAAGTTATTGACCCTATACAGGATTTAAAAAAGCATTCACAACAAGCATGATGTGGTTATAGGGAGAATAACAGCTCTTGTCTAAATAATTATAAAGCTTGAAATATTAGGTATTAACTCACACTTGCTTTAATAATTCCTGATATGCATCTAATTTTCTTTCGTTATTATTTAATCATATCACAAAAAAAAAACCTGATTCGAAATATTGATACGAGTCATCAGAAACATTGAGTGGGGACTCAGCTAATGGTTATTCTGTTTGTAGAGTAAAGAATTGTGTGTGTGTCTATTACATTTGCTATATTATATTTATGTCATACTTAGGTAGAGTGTGTAGAATTTAGTTATATCTAGTGTTGAAATTACATGTTGCAGCTGAATACCCCTCACCTCCCCTTCCAAAAGTGAAAAAGAACCTGTGGTAGCTTCAGTTGTCATAAAAACTCAAAAGGTGTTTAGTAGAGGACCCCCTTCATGTAAATATAAAGTATTTAAATATAAAGTATTTAAATATAAAGGGCCTTTTCTGGGGTAAAGAAAACTATAATTCATACAATTTAGATGAAACGACCTATTGAAAACATCATGAGGATTATTCTACATTAAATATCTGCCAATAGTTCCCTTTCACCTAAATCTTACACACTGGACCTTTAATGCTGTCTGTTTGCTATTTTTCAGTTTAAGCCCTTGAAAGTGCGGCTGTGTTTGCAAATAGGGGACATTGTATCCAATCCTGTTTGAAAGGTTTAGCTTTAGAGTGAAGGTGAATACAGGTTTACGTTCTGTTTAGAGTAAAGGTTGGGAGGTCATTCAGCTGTGATGGTTAAGGCAGTAGAGTTAGAGCTTTTGTATTGGTAGAGCTATTGTAGACTTTCCCTTGTGTTTTATTGAGCCGAGGAGGGAAATGTTCTTGAATGGGAGGAAAAAGGAACATTGGACTTTCCTTGATATAAAAACATTGACCAAATAAAAAAAAAAATACAATTGCAGGGATCATGCAGTTTCAGTAAATTTGACAATGGTATACAATATCAAGAACCTTTATTTTGTGTGGTGAACAAAAAGCAGCTTCAACTGTAAATATGTGGGAAGGATGAGGACGTGGCAAAGCAGGAAGTGTTGCCTTGATATATTTCAGTTAGCCAATTATGGACAGTTAAACTATTTATCATAAAAACTATGGGATGGTTCAAATTTTACGGCAAAGACCAAATGCTATATTTGGCAACATGTCTCTGTCTGACACCTGAAACTTCTGTTGGCAGCACTGTATGTCTCAAACGAGGCAGGTAAAGTACATGTGAGAGAAAATGGGAAATGAATAGTTTCTTTTCCGGTCATCACAGAGATCTGTCATTCATGTGGAGCCATTTGCTATTTTCTGTTATGACATGAGGGAGTGTGGCTTGTTCATCATTTGAGTTTGTTTGCTGATCATAAATTCATGAGTGCATGAGTCATATTTACTGCATTTGAGTTACTATCACTTGTTTGCTGGAAAACTCTTGACCACTAGCAGCACTATGGAGCAATCCTTTTATTGGGAGGTACCCTTTTGGATATAATAGTGGGAATACACAAAGATACACAAATACACAAGTACTGCAAATTAAATAACAGATAGAAACAATGAGACCCCTTCTGATCTGATGGGTACATATCAGTAGGGCAACATTGTTTCTCAGTACCTTTAAAACCATTAAAAATCACTTTAGATATTGTTTAGATGCAGAACACAACTTGGACAGGTTAAGAGATTGGTCATAATTTGATATTTGAATCAAACAAATGCTTTGTTAATGAAAACATCTTGATTTGGTTCAAAAGTTTTAAATAAGATCAAGCTTAAGAGATATTTGTAATGGCTACAATCATGAACACTTTTTTAAGATTGGGAAACAGTTGTGGTTATGGTTAAAAGATGCTAGTGTTGAAAGTTATTAGGAAACAGGAAATAAACAGTGGTCTCCATGGCACAATCCCACATTTTATTGACGCATCCAGTCAACTACTCACTTCTGGAGTGACGCAATTCACAGTCTTGCCAACAGTTTCTACTTAGTCCACATTTGAAAACATCCAAAAGCGCTGGTCATAAAAATAAAATTCATCCAACATGTGTCCCCACCAAATACGGAATGTCATTTTCATATGCTGCACTTCTTCTGGGTGCACCTGTCATTCAACTTGGTCAAAAATAAAAAATAAAACATTAGAAAGTATGACAGTCTGAATAAATTTACAAAATGTGCAGTGTCTGTACATGGTTGAGCAGTCAGGAACCAAAATGTGATGTGCTTACTAAATAAATAAAGGGGGGCACCAGCTGCTCTTTCCATCTCCCTTAACATTGCATGTCTCACTTCGCCATACTCTGACTATATCCTAAGACAGAAACATCCTCAGTGCATCTAAATGCTAATATTGATGTTTTCAAATGCTTCCTCCAAATAACTCTGTCCAGTAGCACGATGTCTTGGGGCTAAATCAATCCACATTGCGAGCTTTGTCCTCTTTGCCATCTGTCGTGTGCCACTCTGCTGCAGCTGGCATCTGGACTAAGGTACTGTATGATATTCTCTGTGCTCACGGTTAACCACAATTCATTTAAGGGTGTGTCCGCCCAGCTGTTTGCAGGTGATGTTGGTTTCATCATCAATCCCCGACCTGCATTCATATAAGGTCGATCACGGTGACAAATGTTACACTGCACATTTCCACTCAGAAACATGAGCTCACCCAGTTCCTTCCTCACCACGTCATCTGTGCATCTTATTGTGACTTCCACACTGCTGCATGGCGACTCCTCAACTTCCCTGCTATGGTTGCAGGTATCAACAATGGCAGAGGACACAAGCACAGACACACAAGACAGACTGGTACAGTAGGAAGCTTTCAATAAGAGTAAACAGGCTGTGGGATAGTCAAGCAGGTGCGTAAAGAGGCGAGCTGGCCGGAACAGAAAACAAGGAAACACTCAGAGAAGGTAGACCATGCACAGGGGAATATACACAGAGGAACTGGCAAGAAGCAGGTATAAGAAGTGAGACGTGTTAAGTGAGATGAGGTAACAGGGTTGGGTTGTGTGAGTGGGCGGGGAAGCAATTGAGGATAAAAAACAGGTGAGCAGACAGAAACGGCACAGAAAGTCCAGGGACATCTGGTGGGTGGAAGGAGAACGGCACGTCTGGAGAGAAAACACGACCTGGGAGACA